TCCTTCGTATGTACATAGGACTGTATCGACTTTATTTCATTGAAATGATCACAGAAACAGCGAGCACCATAATTCTTCTGAAGGCACTTTGATTTGATTACGAGTAGTTGATCATCTCATAGAGACAATCTTCGCTAGCACGTTCCTTGCTGCAATTGTCATCAGGCACAAGTCCTATCGAAGAAAAAGAGACCTTAGGTTTTTATCCATAAAAATAATGTATTCCGCGTGGTCTGCTATTCTCATTGTAGGAGTAATTGTTGTTCTTTTCGCCACTGGTAGTTTCTTTTGGGCATGGTTATGGTCAGCTTGATACCTACTCCAGTCATGCCCAACGTCGACGGCAGCTATAAGCTGTCAGCTTTCTCTCTTTATAAGCTTTAGACGCTCAACAAATACCGCAATTTCTGACTCGTTCTACTTCCCCATCTGATTAACCTTACACGCTCCGACCATTCTAACTTCTCCATCCGTAAACGCCAGCACAGTCTTTGCCAGTTCGTGTCTAGTTTAGTAGCTATCGCAGACAATAAGACGGCGACCAGGTATAGACTGATGTGTCAGCTTCATTTGTCCGATCATTGCTACCGAGAGAGCTGAAGCCGAGTCCTGCTTCACCGATATATCTATATTATTTCATAGGCTAGTGTTCTTGCTAGCGGCTGTCGTAGCTCAGGAAACATGCCGCAATAGCACTCCGCCGGGTTTCAAGGCTCAGTATTGCCAGATCCATTGTCGTTGATAGTATGGATCAGGGGTTGGTAGGCTTTTTAAAAATAGTTGACAACGCTCAGCTTGGTATCCATAAAGGATTCCACTTGTTTCCGCAGCGAAACTGGTCTCACATCCGAGATCTGGGAGGAAAAGGCTTTCCGAGCCACTCCCCCACTTAGAATAGAGGCGTCCGTGTCTCCTTGAAGAGTGAGAGGCACTCTGGGGTGATGGAAGCCGTTCAAGTAGAACGGCGTGAGCCCCGTGGTCGCGTGTACCGCGCTGTTGAGCGCAAACTCAACAACTGGAAGCTGCGTCGACCACGTACGCGGTGCTGTCGCGCACACACTGCGCAGAGTGTCCTCGAGCACTCGATTGACGCGCTCTGTCTGGCCGTCTGTCTGCGGATGGTCCGCAGTGGACATTTGCAGACGAGTTCCCAGTAAGGGAAACAGCTTTTCCAAAACGCAGCCGTGAACCGCGGGTCCGAGACAATCGTCTCGAGGAGACCGTGATAGCGGAACACGCCATCGACGAACAACCTTGCGGTTTGTTCGCCCGTAACAGTGACGGGAACCGGAGCAAGTTGTACCATCTTGCTCAGCCGACACACGAACACCAAAATTCCGGTGTTGCCGTGTCCGCCGGCGGGAAGCCCAAAGATGAAGTCAAGACTCATCGACTTAAACAGTCAGCCGGAACGGGCAGGCTCTGTAGTGGAGCCGAAGAGTGCCCTGCGTGTTTGACCCGCTGACATGTTTGACATGTCTTAACGTATCGGGCGACCCACTTGTACATGTGGGTCCACCAGAAGGCCTGAGAGACCGACATAAAGGTCTTCTCGCGGCCCAAGTTGCCGCTGAGGGGCGCGTCGTGCGCCTCCGCGAGGATATCGAACTTCAGATCCTCGTCGTTGGGTACGACCACCCGTGGAGGTTCAATGGACTCCACCGGTAATGTGAGGCGAGTTAGTCGCCGTCCTCAAGGATGCGTGGTCTGCGTAGATCACGAAGGACCTCGAGCCCAGAAGGTGAACACGAAACTTCACAAGGGCATATTTCATTGCCAGGAGCTCCTTGTCGTGGACAGGGTAGTTCCGCTCGGCGGCTTTGAGCTGCCTGGACTGAAACGAGATGACTCGTTCATGTCCAGCCGTGTCGGCCTGCAGCAATGCACACCCGATGGCGTAATCGGAGGCATTGCAGACGACGCTAAACGGCTTCGTCTCGTCCGGCAGGGCCAGGACAGGGGCCTCTTGGAGACTGGCCTTGATGCTGTCAAAAGCATTCTGGTGCTCTTGCTCCCAGCGCCAGTCGACGTCCTTCTGAAAGAGGCCCGACAAGGGCTTAGCGAAGCCCGCGTAACCCGCGCTGTACTTGTGAAGGTAGTTGGCTTGGCCAACTACCTTCACAAGTATGCTATGGGTCAAGGCCAGCCCGAACGCCCACGTTGCTGACGAATCAACCGAGAACTTTAATCTCTGGTGACGCAAAAACGCACTTGTAGATGTTGGCGTAGAGCTTGTTCGTTTGCATTACGTCCAACACTCGACGGAGATGTCCTAGATGCACCTTCATGGCCGTCTTGCCTCCCTCGGCACGGCTATGGACGAATATGTCGTCGAAGTACGTCTGTACGAAGGTACGCAAAGGGCGGAGCAGTTGCGTCACCAGGCGATTGAACGTCGCCGGGGCGTTAGACAAGCCCTGGAGCATGACGAGCCACTCCCAAAGCATGCCACTTGGAGTGCATACCGCGGTGAGCGGGATGTCGCTCTCTCGCATCAGGATTTGGTAGTA